AACGAAGATTCCGGTTTAAATTTTAGGCATAGACTTAGTATTTTAACTACCATACTAAGTCCTAGAATAATTATTATAATATACATATGATATATATCATATAGCTATAATAAAATTAAAAATAACAAAACACTTTTTAATGGAAAACTCAATATTCGTCGAATCTTTCCTATTTGGTATAGCTATTTGGTATAGTGGTCTGATCCTCGCGAGATGAATATATGCCAAATTTCAAGATAACTTAAAAGCTCAGAGAATAGTTTGCTTGGAGAGAGGGAGACACACAGATCATCATGATCAAGAGTATTACAAGGTATAAAACCTTCTAGGTACGCTAATACTGGTTACCCAGACTTTATTAGGGCATACGGCTTTTTTCATTAGCCATATAGCATATTAAATATTTTACTACCAGATGTACTATACACACATAAAGTCCATATACACGAGTTGGATACAAGCAAGTGTCGCATCTTTTATCACATAATTACGCTCACTATATAACTGTTACTGTGTGTTAGTAATATATATATGTGCTGAACTTTGTACATAGATATCGGATGACAAGGCCGTTAATGAGTCGCCTTTTGCCACAGCCATTGACCAAACCATATCCAATTCTAACGCCCAATTTGCGCGTGACTTTGATGTATCATTTTTGGGCACTACGTATGTCTGTCAAGGTAGTGGGGTTTCGAGGGGCTACAGTTAGGCGACACGAGCTGAATATATAATATGTGAGCATTATCAATGCCTTTCGGCTTTCAAAGAGATAATGGTGCATTGTGTGGGAGGGGTAGTTGGGTGGGTGTGTGCACAGTTCAAATAACAACAAGAACAACAATAAACTCATTAGTTAAACAATGCATTATAACAACAACAACAACAACAACAACAACAATTGCTTCTGTGTCCAACTGTTCTATAGGAATAGGAAACAATATTTTGTTGTAAACAATTTCCTATTATTATTTATTTGTTATGCTTATCGCTGGGGTAGCTCTCGGTAGCTACCCACATATAAACAAATGCTTAATTGTTTTCTTTTTTCTTTCCCCTTTTTTTTGCTTTGTTTATTTTCTACAGGTGTGAAGGTAACAATCGTACTGATTATATATGGCTGATATAGGTAATCAGCCTCCAGCTCGACCAAGAGCAACGATTGATAGCGAAATGTAAAACAGCTGAAGGGCGTAACAGAGCACATTTAATGAGATGGGCGTAACGCTAACGATTTCGAATTGAGGCACTGGGAAAAACATATATAAAGCAAATGAATTGGGAAAATTGGAAATAGATAGTTAAAGAAAGTAAAACAGAGTGTAAGCGAGATTTATTCTAAGGCAGACCTAATAAAAAGAAAAGTGAATCTACTAAATAGGCATTAAAGGAGACATCATCAAGTCCAACGAATGTGCTTGGTGTGATTCACGGTTGAAGGCAATGCCTCGCCTTCTGTTCGTAAACTTAATTTTTAATAGCACAATTAAATTTATTATAAATAAGAAATAAGTATTTTAATCTTGTCAAAAAACTTTTAACGGCGAGAAGGATACAACCCCATCCCCATAAAGTATAGATATTTAGATCAGCATCAATAGACAGGTTGATATAGCCATGTCCGTCCGTCCGTATGTGTGATTTCAGTTTTTAGACTATCGTCTTGAAACTTTGCATAGATCCGTCTTTTTGTTGCAGACATACAAATATTGAAAATGGCCGGATCATATAGCTGGCACTATATCATATAGCTGGCACTATACCATATAGCTGGCAAAGGAAACTCTGTAATTATTAGTTTCACTTTGCTGCTCACTATGCAAAATCTTATCAACATCGGGCCACTATATCATATAGCGTCAAGGCATCTTGTTTAACAAGATATCTTAACCAAACTCGGCGTTTATTACTTAAGCTATGCTGCTTATATAAGAGCTAGGTCGTATCAACGTCTAGCTAATATATTATATAGCGCTATAGGAAGAATGGGTCGAGAAAGTTGTTTTTGAATGGCAAATTATTCTGTTTTCCAAGATGTTTTTGTTATCAAACTTAGCATTTACGAGCATGACTACAAGCATATTAAATCTTCGGCGTGCCGATGATATCCTTACTTTTTCGTTCAAAGTCTAAAAATGAAACTCACTTTAGATTCAAGTGTTTTGCAATTATATTTTCGATTTTCCAAATAAAGATATAATTTGAGCCAAACTATCTTTTTCAAAAAATATGTATCGGTTCAGAGTTCGGATTGCCTGTTCTTTTGTTAAAAACTAATTTACAATCTTGGTATATATGTATGTATATATATATATAATCTTAATTGGGTTATCCGAGGTTTATTACATCTTCCTACTTTATCCCGTTTGGATAGACAGACGAACACATATGCTTGATTGACTAAGCTGGTAAGATTATCGATCAATCATATATATAAGAATATTCCTTAAAGGGACAGAGGTACATTCTTCTTCCACATGAATTTGCAAAACTATAATTTAATCTCTTTCAGACATATGCTATAGGTACTGAATATATGAAAAGCTAATCAACTGATATAGAAGAAACTGTTAATTCACTGAGGAAGAGAATTAAGTGTTAATATAATTATACAACAGCTAATATAACATTAAACATGGCAAGTGCTCCAAGCGAGGCGCCTCCACAGCCCATTTATCTAATCAACTATGAGAGCTATCTGCGACCCAGGCAGCCGCACAAGATAACGCCGCTACAATGCTTCGATAGGCCGCAAAAACCGAAATCTAGATGTAATAAACTCTACAAAACTCTCCGCAGACTTAAGCTATTCAGATGGTGGCGCAATCAGCGTGCCCAAGTCTCCAAAAGACTTGATCAACTGCCGCTGCCAAGTTTTCTGAGCTTTCTGCGCGCCCGCCACGATGATGGTCTATGCAAAACCAAGACCGGCTTTGAGATCTATTGCGAAATGTCGAGCATACATGGATTTCATATATTCGTGGCCGCCAAGACATGGCAGCGTGTGCTCTGGTGGCTGCTCATCTGCACGGCGCTCTTACTATCGCTCCTTGTGCTGACCATGTCATATAGCCTGTCGGCGGAAACGCCAACAATACGGTATATAGAGAGCATGTTGCAGCCCATGTCCGTACAGCCTTTGCCCTATCCGGCGGTGAGCATATGCAGCCTAAATCGCGTGTCCAGGCGGCAGCTGTTGCTTAAATCGAGAGAGTGGTCTGTGGCGCCACAAACGCTGCTGCAAGTGCCCTGGTTAACTAGACGCAGTTTGGAGCAGTTTAATCAGACTGGGTTAAATGATTTGAGCTACGCGAATGTCAGTTGGTCCCAGCTGCTTGAACAGCTGGCGCCACGGATCTGTGAGGCACAGCTCTTGGGCTGTCAGTGGCAGGGCTTGGCCCAAAATTGTCAACAGCTGCTGACCACCACCTGGAGCTACAGTGAGGGACGCTGTTGCAGCTTCAGGCAGGCGCCCGGCAGCACAGCTGGAGATCCAGCCAAAGGTTTGACTCTGCGCCTAGCCAGCCAGCTGGAGGATTATGCCAGTTCGCTTCATGCCGCGGCAGGTTTTCAGTTGTTGATACATGAGGCACATACAGTAATCCACGCAGCCACACAACGCCTGCTGGTGCCCAGAGGTACGGAGGCACAACTCATGCTGAAGCCGTACAGTACATATGCCACGCCCTATTTAGGCGGCTTGGCGCCCAGCAAACGCGGTTGTTATCTGAGCAATGAGCGGGCGCTGTTCTATTATTCTGTGTACAGTCAGGATAACTGCCTGGCGGAATGTCATAGCGAGAGAATGCTGCAAATTTGCGGCTGTGTCCATCCACATATGCCCAGGCGTTGGCAGTGGCCGCTATGCATATTGGAACAGTTCACATGCCTTCAGGAACAGGGTAAGCTTCAATTAAAGCATATCTATAAAACGCTTGCAGAAACACGTAGCTCAATTTATTACAGCAGTCAGTTTTTCTAATACATTTCTTCCTCTTTTGTTGATTTTCAATCGATCAGCTTAAAAATCATTCCCAAATATCTTTTTTAAAAATTCATTGAAGACGAATTACTCGAGCTCGGGAAAATTCTTCCCCTTGTCCTCATTTTTTGAATTACATATAATTTGGCCGGCCAATGCCGGGTAATACTCCCTAGTTGCTCCATATAATAAATAACTCTATAATATCTGCTCTAGTTAACAGCTGGGATCATTTGCAGAGCGTATGCGATTGCTTGCCATCTTGTCAATTTTACCGTTATGAAGTGCACAGCGATGTGGCAACCCTGGACGCCAGCTACCCTATGCACCAAGCTAATGATGGCTTGTTGTAAGCTTTTTATTATTAAGTGGGGTAGTTTATATTTATAACTATAATTTCCTCACTACAGCAAGAACTTTAATGGCTCGGACGAGGTGCTACTACGCATATATTTTGACTCGTTCAGCGCTGAGCGACTGCGATTGGATGTCTATGAGAATTGGCTGACTTTTATAGGCAAGTACAGTTGAACAGGGCTAAAAAGAACTCAACACAAATACGCAAATAAACTCAAAAAGCCGTTTGCTGGTAAAGTTTGGAGTCAAGGAAAACTCAAGGATCAGTTTCAAGCATCCTTGATCCTTGAGTTTTAAATAAATTCTGAAACAGCTTTAAGCTCAAAAGCGTGAACCACTGTATTTTCATAATAACAAAGAAGTTTTATAAGAGGGATCGTAATACACATGCTCTCACTCATTTGAGCATACGTTTTAGAAAAATGAATTGTATATACGTTCATTATAGTCACGTTCGCCTGTATCTAATGTGCGTTTATACCTATATTTAATGAAGTACTTGTCATTTGTAATGTGACAGGCACCTTTGGCGGCATCACCGGCCTATTTATGGGCTGCAGTTTCGTATCTGTGTTCGAGCTAATATTCTTTGTGTGTGTGCGACCCACTTGTAACTGGTTGACCAGACAGCAAATACGCTATCGACAGCGACGTCGACTTTTTCAACATCAACGAGCCGCAAATGGTAATTAGGACATGCTAATTAGCTGGTCAACCAAGGGCCACGCTAGGCCAGTTGCTCGAAGTACCTGCAAGTGTTCAACATGGCCTTTAAGAAGCGACGGATCTTTGACCTGCGCCAAGTGCAATCCGAGCAGCAGCTCACCAAAACCACGGAAAGCCACAGGAACAGCAGCCACACCGTGCACACACCCAAAACTGGGGCCAGTCGCAGGCGCTGGAAATTAAATCAGCTGCGACTGGTGAGAACTTGGTTTGTCGAGAGTTTGCGGAACTATTGCCAGACAACATCGCTGCACGGATTCAGCTATATTACACGCCAGGATATTAGCCGGAACGAGCGTTGGTTCTGGCTGGGCGTGGTCATAGCGGCTATTATAGCCTCCGTTTCTCTGGTACTGGTCTCGTGGTATTCGAACCGTGAAACACCCACGGTGACTGTCATCGAGAGCGCGCACTTTCCCACTTGGAATATACCCTTCCCGGCGGTAACCATTTGCAATTTCAACAGAGTGTCCAAAACCAAAGCGCTGGACATGCTGCAGCGCATGTGAGTGTGTGGATCAGAGGTGTCTGAGCAACTGTTGCCCCAAGCTCAAAGTATTTCTCCTTTTCAGGCGACTGCCACCCAATGTGACCAAGACGCAACTGCAGCAACTATTTAATTTAACATTAATTCCCACGGGCAGACTTATAAGCAATAGTTCATTGCAAACCTACGATAGGATATTGAATCTGAATAATATCACCCTGACTGAAATGTACAATCGTCTGTCACCCGACTGCCTGGACATGATCTCACGCTGCATTTGGAAGGGTATCAAAACGCGTTGTGAGAGCCTCTTTCAACGCATTGCCACTCTACAGGGTATTTGCTGTAGTTTCAACTATTTTGCTGCCGTTTCCAATAATTTTCCCATGTAAGTATTCCTGACTAGAAGAAGCTGGTTAACATAAGATACAAAGAGAAAGCTATTGAAACTTGTAATGCTTTGCTGTGTCTACAATCCCGTATCAAGTATCTCGAACAGGGCTCATTTACTAATCCTTGAAAATATGTCTGTTCTAGCAAAATCGCGTACCAAGTGCCCAAGCGTCCGTATCGTGTCACTGGCTGTGGCTTTCCCACTGGTCTATCCGTTCTACTCGATCCCTTGGTCGAGGATTATTATGCCACGTTCTTTAGCGGTTTTGGCTTTCGCCTGCTTATTCATGATGCATATAATTTTCCCGATGAGAACTCTGAGACCAAGGTAGTCACATCCACACGCGAGAGCTTTGTGCGCATTAATCCAGAATCAACCTATGCCACCAAGGACATACGCCAGATGGACTTGCGCTGGAGGAACTGCCTCTTTGGCACCGAACGGAAGCTCGATGGCCTGACACGTTACTCGTTTATCAATTGCATGTTCGAGTGCAGAATGCGCATGACCCTTCAACGTTGTGGTTGCCTGCCGGCCTACCTGGCGCACAATGCATCCATCAAGGTCTGCGGAGTGCTCGACTTTAACTGCATGATTGAGAGCAAACGTAAGTAGAAGACAGAGAATATTGTAAGTTGAGCTGTGATATTAACTATCAAGATTTTCCTTGGAAAGCCCTATCACATATAATAGAAATATTTTTCTATTATTAATTTTTCCACGTTCAGGTTTATTTTCTCGCGCCTTGGCCAATCTAGACGCGCCGCTTTCCGTAGTCCGGCAAACGAATAGTTTTCCGTGCAACTGTTTGCCCGACTGTGAGTCGAATCTATATGTTTCAGAGAGCACCATGGGCAGGCTGGATATAAGCTACTCCGGCAACAAAATGACCAGCAGGCAAGATGTTCACTAATATGCTTTACAGCTCTATAATCTGATTAAGCTTCTCATATCTTTAGTACAAATCAAACAGATAGCATATTGGTGCACGTTTTCTATAGCGACCTAATGTCCACCAGATATCGTATGGAGATCTTTCAGAACTGGCTATCGGCCTTGGGTGAGTTTACATTAATTCATCGATCCTTTGTTTATTTAAAAACGTTTCTTTTACTTTTACAATCTGCAGCATCTTTTGGCGGCCTGCTTGGTCTTATACTTGGCTTCAGCATTGTCACGGCCTTTGAATTTGTGTACTTTCTCACTTTTCGACCGGTGTTCAACTATATCAATAGAGAACGAGATTAAATCTAGCGAAAACTACTGTAAAATAATTTTGATAGCACTTTCCTCAACTAAATTATTTAGCTCACAAGAAATATCCGCTTAATTTATTAGAGCTAGATCTTAGGGGAGCCTTGATTTGTTCTAAAGACGGAATCCTTTATTTTGTCAAAGTAACCCAACCTCTTGACCTATTCTACCCTGGCGATCAGGGAGTCCAAGAGATCCTCGCTGACGGGCAAGATCTCTTAAGGGGGCATAGATGAGGGCCATGCGTACATCCTGAATCCCATAGACCCAATCAATGCTGGCACTTGTGGTAGGGTAGATAGCTTTAAAAATGTTACCACCAACATATTTTGTTTTATGGCACTGACTAATTGCGGCAATAGATGCATTAAACACTTGTTGATTGCTGTTAGGACCATAGGACATTTTTAAGCCCAGAATAGAATGTATCAATGTATCATACAGTTCATCCAGTTGCACCCAATAGTAATTAGCGCTGGCACGACCCTTGACAGCTACCTTTTCCTCAATTTCATCCATGGACTGTTGGAAATCCTTTATCCTTTGGAAATTCTTTATCCACTCCATTATGCACATAGATATCAATAGGGCGAAGAGAAGCGAATTGCTTAGCGACATGATTGTCGTTGACTTAATAACACAAGGTTGCGGAGTTGGCTTATATAGCTTTAAGACACAACGTACTCGATAAGCACTAATAAGTGTCCATTTAAAATCTTATCAATATAACGAATGCTTTAAATAATTCAAGACAAAAATGTTGTTAATTTTCTGAAAACTTACAAATTAACAACGTTTTTGTTAGTTTCTTGAAAACGAAGAGTTTTTCCACACATTATTTAAATTATTTGACAGTGACTCTGCAATAATGAGTTACTGGAAGTCTACAAATTGTACACGTGCCATTTAAGATCAACGTATCGTGGACAACTTGCATTCTTCGACATTTTTACGCCACGTTTAAGGGCATCAATCACTCTGGGATATCACATTCTGACAGCAAGTGTAGATAGGTCTACAACGTGATTCATTATTTGATTCCATGCAACAACATACAGCAGCAATGGCCAATTAACTATGGTGAAATCCAACTCTATAATCCCTTTTAAAGGCTTTCTACCAATTTGTATATTAGTGTTCCACACGTGTGTGGGTTGCCTCTGAGAGAAGGTTGTAAAGAGAGGCATGTAGGAATAAACTCTATCTATTGACAAAGTTCTTTGGCTGGCGTTCTTGGCTGTGATTTTGTGAATCGTTTATTGCGCAAATTTTTAATCAAAATAGCCCAACTTCTTGACCTTACCAACCATGGCAATAATGGAGTCCAAAACCTCCTCGCTGGCGGGAATAATCTGTGCAGCGGGCAGCTTAACACCAGTAAAGAGAGAATTTCGAGTGGGACGCAGTTCGTAGCAAAAGGCCATGCTGTGCGCATGGCACAGTTCCATAGGCCCAGTCAACGCTGGCTCCTGCGGCAGGGTAGATTGCATCATAAACTTTGCCACCAGTGTATTTCGTGTTGTAGCGCTGAGAGACAGCGGCAATGGAAGCATTAAACACCTGCTGGAAATCCTTTATATTATCAGGCAGTTCGCCATTTTGTCCATAAGGATAAAGCAGATACTGAGATTATGCGTGGAAGGACACATAGAGCTGAATCTTGCCTTTCAGCGAGGCAATGTAGTTGGATAGTGAGAAGATCTCGATCTCAATGAATGCCGAGGGACCAGCATATGTATTGGTGCACGGATCGTCGCTGGAGCCGACCTCGTTCCAGTGGAAGCCCGATTGGGATCAGCACCGAAGCAGCTGCCGTATGGAGTACGAGTCTTACGCCACATGCGATCCGTGGTGTGGGTGTAGACGAAGCCATCGGGATTGGCATGGGGAAAGACGTACCAGTTATAGTTATCCGCCAAATCCTTGATGGACTCCAAGTCTGAGGTAAGAAGCTGATTGATGATGAAGGTCGTGGCTGCAGGGGCGATCTATTCGCATCCGTGTATGCCCGCCTCCAGGAAAATACCAGGTTTTTCTCTGAGGCTCTTGGAGATCTTGACACCCAAAATTGAGCGTCCCTGATAGGTCTTTCCCCCCTCAATCAATGTGACTACATGTGGGTACTGCTTAGCGAGAGATACCATCCAGCTGTACGTATCGTCCAGCTCATAGTACTGCACCCAGTTGTAATCTTCGGTGGCACGTCCCTTGATGGCCACTTTCTCATCGATGTTATCCATTGACTTTTGGAAATCCTTGGATTGGTTAGTTCATATTTAATCTCAGCCTTTCCCAACAGCTCCAGCAGATCAGGCACCTTGTGTGGGGCAACAACCATCTGAACATCAGCTCCAACAATGTGAACCCCATCCAGGAACAAGATGGAGTCAGTGGATCCCTCCAGCTGCTTAAGCACCGCCAGTTGCTCGGCATTCTCTGCATTGGCCTTGTATAGGCGGTAATTGTCGTAGCGGACACGCTCCGCCTGAGCCAATCCAAACGTGGCCAAAAAGCCAAACAGGGCGAAGAGAAGCGACTTATTCAGCGACATGGTGGTCGTTGATATAAACAATACGATTTCGCGTGGTTGGTTTATATAGTCGATGGGTTTTGGACATAACGTCTGTGATAAGCGCTGATAAGTCAATTAGCCAAATCTTATTTATAACCAATTCTTCGGAATACAATTAATTGAGTTATCTGCGTACACGCACAGATTCAATTGTTTGAATATAAATACTTGTAAACGTCTAAGAAATTACTAACATTGTGTAGGTTTCTTTCGCAAGAGCTTCTTTTTGAGTAGAATTTGAAGACTTAAATGGCACACTTCGGTCTAATGTGTCCATACATAAACCCGAAGCTAGTTCCAGAAAACAAGCTATTATTTATAACGAGGGGAAAATATGGAGTTCTATATCAACTTTCCGAAATCTCAAATAACCAACGACGCCAATGCTCCAACACGGTTCTTCAAATCAAGGGTGTTAACGTCCCGTTTTCAACTCTTGCTTCATTCCACGGGTATGTAACCTACTTTTCTGCACCCATACATTTAAAATATGGGACGTTTATTTTGCAAATCTTTAATTAAAGTAGCCCAACTTCTTGACTTCACCAACCATGGCGATAATGGAGTCCAACACTTCCTCGCTTGCTGGTATGATCTGTTCAGCGGGAAGCTTGAAACCAGTAAGGATGGAATTGGAAGAGGGACGCAGCTCATAGCAGAAGGACATGCGCACATCCTGAGTTCCATAGGCCCAATCAACGCTGGCACCTGCAGCAGGATAGATGGCATCATATATGTTGCCACCAGTGTATTTTGTGTTGTAGCGCTGGGCTACGCCCGCAATAGAAGCATTAAACACCTGCTGGAAGTCCTTTACATTGTCAGGCAAATCGCCGGTGTGACCATAAGGATACAGAAGGTACTGCGAGTAAGCGTGGAAAGAAACATAAAGTTGAATCTTATCCTTTATCGAGGCTATGTAGTTGGACAACGAAGCAGTCTCAATCTCAGAGAAGGCCGACGGTCCGGCATAAGTATCAGAGCAGGGATCGTCGCTGGCACCGATCTCGTTCCAGTGGAAGCCCCAGTTACGATTAGGATCAGCACCGAAGCAGCTGCCGTATGGAGTGCGAGTCTTACGCCACATGCGGTCCGTGGTGTGCGTGTAGACAAAGCCATCGGGATTGGCATGGGGAAAGACGTACCAGTTATAGTTATTCGCCAAATCCTCGATAGACTCTACTTCTGAGGTAAGAAGCTGATTGATTATGAAGGTCGCGGCCGCTGGGGCAATCCACTCGCGGGCATGAATTCCAGCCTCCAAGAAAATGCCAGGCTTCTCGCTGAGGCTCTTGGAGATCTTGACACCCAAAATTGAGCGTCCTTGATAGGTCTTTCCACCTTCAACCAGCGTGACAACATGTGGGTACTGCTTAGCGAGAGATACCATCCAGGTGTACGTATCGTCCAGCTCATAGTACTGCACCCAGTTGTAATCTTCGGTGGCACGTCCCTTGATGGCCACTTTCTCATCGATCTCATCCATGGACTTTTGGAAATCCTTAGTCAGCATATCATATTTGATTTCTGCCTTGCCCAGAATCTCCAATAGATCGGGCACCTTGTGAGGAGCAACAACCATCTGGACATCAGCTCCAACAATGTGAACTCCATCCAAGAACTTGATGGAATCCGTAGATCCCTCCAGTTGCTTGAGAACAGCCAGTTGCTCGGCGTTCTGTGCATTGGCCTTGTATAGGCGGTAATTGTCGTAGCGGACACGCTCCGCCTGAGCCAATCCAAACGTGGCCAAAAAGCCAAACAGGGCGAAGAGAAGCGACTTGTTCAGCAACATGGTGGTCGTTGATATAAACAATACGATTTCGCGTGGTTAGTTTATATAGTCGATGGGGTTTTGGACATAACGTCTGTGATAAGAGCTGATAAGTCATTTAGCCAAATCTTATTTATAACCCTTGGGATTAAATCGTCAATGTTTGGAGACATAAATAAAAGAGTTATCTGCGTCTAAGCCCTTATCAATATTTTGATTGTCAATATTTTTTAAAGAAATTAACAACTTTTTTGTAGATTTCATAAAAATCAAGAGTTCCTTTTAAACTACTCATAAACCACGTGGGTTTAACCCTGTATTATTGAGTGACTGGCAGTCTATAAATTGAATACTAGCCAAGGAACGCTAACGTAACGAATTTTAGACCCTAAGTACCCTAAAGTTACAGTGGGAAAGTGAAAAGTTGAATGAAGTCTTTTCAGATACTATTCGGATGGTAGATTGTAGAATAAATGATAGGCCTTTGGAATGGTAGATTGTAGAATAAATGATAGTCCTCTGGAAGACTAAAACTATTAATGTTTCCGAAATGCCTAGGGTCTGATTGTAAATAAGTCTTGATTTTTGAACCGATTAAGTATAAATAATGGGTATGAAAAGGTTCAGTATGACCAAGATGTCTCATATAGTCGCTTCTGCTTTCAGAAACATCGGGATTGCCTATAAAGTGTACAAAACAATGTCTTCTGAAGAATAGATTAAGATGAACGACCAAGTTTTATAATAGGATATGTTTTTATACCCTTGCAGACCGGTCGAAAGTATTTGTATGGAACAAATTTTTTTTTTTCAAGATATCTTAACCAAAATCGGCATTTATTAGTTTTACTATGCTCCCTCCGACTACCATATCATATAGCTGCTATAGGAACGATCGGTCTAAAATTAAGTTGTATGGAAAACTTCTTGCTTTTCCAAGATATCTTAACGATACTCGGCATTAACTATTTTCCTTGTGCTTCTTAGACACGGCAGCGCACTATGAGCATTATGAAAAGGTTCTGTCTGCAAGGGTATTTAATCTTCGGCGTGCCGAAGATAGCCCTTCTTCCTCGTTCAGTTTGACGAAGCTGAGTGTGAGCGGTTGGATGCAGCTGAGAAATTAAAGGAAGGTATAATTACGCCCTTCACCAGTTAAAATCTGGGCGTACAAAGTGAAGGAGATTTGTTATTATTCCTTGATAACTCTCAAAGATTCAGTCAGAGTAAAAGGCCTTATCAGTCTGCGAAAACTTATAAAGTCTGATTAGGCGCACTGATAAGGAATCTTTTTGTTTTTTTTCATTCTGGCCGTTCAGCTTTTCACTATTTTTTTATTCATCTTCTCATAGTATGGCCAACTACTGTTGTGGATTTTTATTCCTTTACACTCAGGAATCAGGAATTATTTGGGAACGACCATTTCCCTAAATGGTAAATGAGTACTCAAGTTTGAAGAAATTGCAAAATGTGCCACAGGGTCAATATTTAGGTTAACTCAAACCCTATTTAAGTACATCAATCATTCTGGCCCATCATATTTTGACAGCAACTGTCCTGCCATGACATATTCCAATTGGACGTGTTCTGATTGATGAGCTAAGCCAACCAGAGTCGGTTCCATAAGGTGATTGGTAACTTGCTGCCATTTAGTAAAGACATCAACATGGCTCAAATAACTGAAGTGGAGTCCAACTATCGGAAACTCTTTAAAGATTTTCTGCGCAGTAGCTATATTAGTGGATTACAACCTCTGCTGCTGCACTCGCCCGTGCAATACGCCAAGTGAGCAGAAATTCATCTACATCTCCCTTTTGGTAAACAAACTTACTTATCTATTTAACGAACTTATCTATCTATTGACAGAGCCCTCTGGGTGGGGTTCCTCGCTGTTATTGTTGTCTGGACACACATCGTTATCATCAATCTAACCCTCGAGTACATTGACCAACCCACTGAAATCCACATGGCACCCAATCTGGTGCACGTGTCCAACAGCCCCTTTCCCGCTGTGGGTGTCTGCAGCTCCAATATGATCAGCAGACGCCTAATGCAAAGCTATGCTTCCAAAATGTGAGTCGTTTATTGCGCAAATCTTTAATCAAAATAGCCCAACTTCTTGACCTCGCCAACCATGGCAGTAATGGAGTCCAAGAGCTCCTCGCTGGCGGGTATGATCTGTGTAGCGGGCAGCTTGAAGCCGGTCACATAGGAGTTGGAGGAGGGACGCAGCTCATAGCAGAAGGACATGCGCACATCCTGAGCGCCATAGGCCCAATCAGTGCTGGACCCTGCGGCAGGGTAGATTGCATCATAGACGTTGCCACCAGTGTATTTCGTGTTGTAGCGCTGAGAGACTGCAGCAGTTGCTGCTTTGAAGACCTGCTGGAAGTCCTTGACATTTTCAGGCAAGGAATTGGTATGGCCATAGGGATATAGGAGGTACTGCGAGTAGGCATGGAAGGACACATAGAGCTGAATCTTGCCCTTAAGCGAGGCAATGTAGTTGGACAGCGACAAAGTCTCAATCTCAGAGAAGGCCGAGGGTCCGGCATAGGTGTCAGAGCAGGCGCTGTTGCTGGCGCCCACCTCATTCCAGTGGAAGCCCCAGTTGCGGTTAGGATCAGCGCCAAAGCAGCTGCCATAGGGTGTGCGGGTCTTGCGCCACAGACGATCATTGGTGTGGGTGTAGACAAAGCCATCGGGATTGGCATGGGGAAAGACGTACCAGTTGTAATTGTCACCCAACTGCTTAACGGATTCCACGTCCGAGGTCAGAAGTTGATTGATGATGTAAGTGGCGGCCGCAGGGGCAATCCACTCGCGTGCATGAATACCAGCCTCAATGAAGATGCCGGGCTTCTCGGCGCCGCTCTTGGAAATTTTTACGCCCAAAATAGAACGGCCCTGATAGGTTTTGCCGCCCTCAATCAATGTAACAATCTGAGGATATTGTTTGGCCAATGACTGCAACCAGGCATAGGTATCATCCAGTTCATAGTACTGCACCCAGTTGTACTCGGCGCTGGCGCGACCCTTGGCGGCAACTTTTTCCTCAATCTCATCCATGGACTGTTGGAAATCCTTAGACTGTAGTTCATATTTAATCTCAGCCTTTCCCAGCAGCTCCAGCAGATCAGGCACCTTGTGTGGGGCAACAACCATCTGGACATCAGCTCCAACAATGTGAACCCCATCCAGAAACATGATGGAATCCGTAGATCCCTCCAGTTGCTTGAGAACAGCCAGTTGATCGGCGTTCTGTGCATTGGCCTTGTATAGGCGGTAATTGTCGTAGCGGACACGCTCCGCCTGACCCAATCCAATCGTGGCCAATAGGCCCAAGAGGGCGAAAAGAAGCGACTTGTTCAGCGACATGGTTGCCGTTGGTATGAAGAATTCGCAGTCGTGTGGTGCGCTTTTATAGGCTTTGGTTTGCTTGCCCTGGAACATGTCTCTGATACAGACATTGCTGATAAGTCAATTGGTCAAATCTTATTTATAGTCCTTAGACTTTGTGAATGATATTTTAGAATTGAAACAATCTAATATAATCTAGGTAATGCACTTATCAGAGAACATCTCGATTGTAAATCAATCCAACGTGACGTAAACCGAAAATTGCAAGTCTTGAATTAAAATTTCGAAACTTGCCAGTCATAAAGAACTTGGGCTTACCGTAACTGCAGCCCGATCAGACATATATGAAAGCGTCTGGAATGCTAAAGTCTAACTATTCCTGAGAGACAGCTCTCTGACGAGTCGTTTATACACTGCCAGAGGGTACTATAATTTTGTCATTAAATATATTATATTACCCTATATAGATATATATGTATATGTTTTTGATCGGCTGTAAAGTAAACAGGGCATAGATCATGTTTATTGCAGACAGTCGGAGTCGCTAGGATCGTATCACCATATTATAGAGGGGCAACCATAGGTTGACAGCGTATTTAAAGTGCAGTAACCCGAAGATAACTAACTATGTTCTACTGGATTTGCCTTGGGTTTACCAAGAATCCAATTGAAATTCACACTCAGCTAGCATGCTAATGTCCCACCCGATTCACAGTTATCAGCACCAGTCCATGCACAAAACATCAGTTGGCAATGGCAGCCGCTACGTCCCGTTAGATGCGGACAATTTGGCGCGCCGCCTGCTGGTGCTGACCAACTTCTACCTGAATGCGCACGACGAGGCGCCGTTGGACGTCGCCGAATTGGGTCAGCTTCACTGGCTGCTCAATAGCTACTATAATGGCAGCGGGTACTCGGTGCATGATATATTGAGAGAGTTGTCGCCCGACTGCGGCGACCTGGTGCTGCGTGGGATCATCTATGGCGCGCCCGTCAACACGAGTCAACTGTTTCTCAAGCGGTCAACAACGGCGAGTGTGTGCTGCATATTTAACTATAGACGACCCAGCTATTCCCAGTACCCGTGAGTAATAATAATAATAATACACTATAAAAGGCATCTTTTACCTGTTTGGTCTTTATGCAGCTCTCAGCGTGCTCAAGATGACGCTGAAATGTCTGCACTGCCGCAGGTGGTCTTTGAATCGAACTCCATACTTAATGGCATACAGTTTGTGTTGCAGGATATAAAAGAGGATGATTTAACAGAAAGATATCTCAGCAACACGGCATTTCGGGTATATTAAGCACTTTTTGTTTTTAAACCGCACAACAATTTATAAATACACACTTAGCAAAAAGCACTTTCCGATTAACAGCGCCAAAATTAACAGAAACGATATCGATTAATTTGACAATCAATGTTAAATTGTACCTTTTTCCCTATGGTTGGTATTCATAATATCCCAAAGAAGGATTTTTCTAGCAATAACGTAAAGCACTTATCGATTAACTATTGCGATATCGTTTCTGTTAACACTTCCATCGATGCAAGACGTTACGCTTTAACCTTTACCTTATGTAAATTTAATATATAAACTTATTTACCTTGCAGCTTATGATATTTCCACAGGAAGATTATGCTACTGTACAATCCAATAAACATGGCGAACTGCTCGTCGATCATCATACAATTGTAGAGGTGCCCATACAGCCCAAGTTTTTCGACTCCAGCATCGCGGTGCGCGGTGTAACCCCACAAATACGTCGCTGTTACTTTCCTGAGGAGGGCAGGCAGCTGTTGAATCAGTGAGTGTATGGAATTCCTGTAGCCTAGCGAATATTATTCTTGCCTTACAGATCCTACTACTCTTTGGATGAGTGCATCCTGCTCTGTCGCATTGAGAGCATGGTGCAGCATTGCGGTTGCGTCTCCTCGCCCATGGCCGGCACCGCACGCAATGTGAGCTACTGCACGCTTCTGGACTTGCCGTGCCTGATGAAATGGCGTAACATTTGGTATGGCTACAATGAGTATCCCTATGTGCAGGAAGATGCCGCCAGCGTATCACAATGCCTCCATTGCCTGCCCACCTGCGACGGCGTCAACTTTGAGATTATCAGCAATGTGGCGCCGCTGCGTAAAAGCTACAATTCATCGGGTTATTATCGTGGTTTACTGTATGTACTTAGTTGTTAGAGTTACCTTTGAGTTTATGTTGATCTTCTGCTTATTCCAGCAAGGGCCTGAACAACGATCGTCCTTTGTCCATTATAAAATTGTTCTTCAAGTTGCGTTTTGCGCAGGCCACACAAATGGATATGGTTGGCGATTGGGTTGTGCTGCTCAGTTGAGTTCAATGATTTACTTATAAGGAACTACTATTAAGCTATTTATTAATAATTATACTATGTTAAGAGTTCATATTGAACTCAAAGGTAGTGATCTGAGATCTTATAAAGTATCTGTCCGTCGGCATAAATAAGTCTACTTTATAGACTAGTCAAATTTAGAACGTTTTTGGTATAGAAAACCATTGAAATACCATCTTAAATGCCAAAATAACTTATTGAGGAATCAAATCGTGGTGTATGCTATAGGAAGCACAGAAGCGTGTTTAGGAGCTGGTTACAGGGCATTCCCTAGTCGAACATTCTCAACTAGATGCTATTAAAGCTCTTAATAGCCTTAATGTAAATTAATTAATATTTATACAATTTGTAAGCTTAAAGCTCAAATGCGTTTAGCTATTTTTACACTCAAATGCAAGCATTAAGCGATGCAAATTGTTCTATATTACAATCATATTAGCTGAAAGCTCAGAGCTTGTGCTATCTATATATGCCAATGCAATATTTATAAAAGTATGTCTAATCGCATTGCTTACTGTTCCATTTCTTTGTAGATCGCTTTGGTGGCATTTTATCGCTGATGTATGGCTTCAGCATTATCAGTTATATTGAAATTCTTTATTATCTAACAGGCAAATGGTTTGTCTTCTACTACAGGGCATACAAAAGTCCCAAGGAGAGCAGCAAAACCAATGATCTGAATAAGTCACTGAACTGGAACGAGTTGATGCCCCGTGGCATAGAGTGGTTCCGGCATCAGGAATTACGAAAGCAGCCGTCACAAAAATAATATTGTTGCAGAACATTTTCGCTTATGTGAATTGCTTAACACAATTGCACAGTATATTGAAATCGCTTTACGCTTACTCTCTCGCACACAAAAATTCAACAATCGCATGAACTTATAGAAATTAAACTGTAGTTAATGTTAATGTAATGCATGCTACAAATGTAATGCCGTTTAAACGATTCATGTTCGATATAATCATGATTTTAATAATCATCACCGCGCGATACCACCTCCTTGCATGTGGGTCGCAATATGATGGTGTGCTCATACTGGGCCGTATAGCAGCCCTTGGTGTCGCACAGAGGCGGATAGGCCTCAACAATGCCCTTGTCGCATAGATCCTTAAGTGCCATTTGATATTTGGTGGCACCGGCGCGATCTAGCCAGCGCTTGCAAAAGGCCAACGTTCCGAAATGCTTGTTAATGGTGCCCAGCAGCTGTTTGGATGACTGCAGGCGGAGGGGCACAAATGGTAAATCAAAGTTTTTCATATAATGCGAACAGTCCATGTCGTCGTGCACCAGGCCCCGACCTGTGGAGCCGAAGGTTTCAATAGCATAGAACTCATCCTCCTCCATACGTGTGGACTCGCCGCCCTTGACAATAGGCACAGTTTTTCCAGCATGAATGCCTGCAGGAAAGCAAATGGAAATACGTTAGATGTGACCCTACGTAACGGAAACTCGTATTCTCGCTTACGGTACGGGCTAATGGAGTGTCCATTCAGATTACGAATAGCCTTGATGGGGTAGGTCTTGCCTTCCAATTCAATTTCGTATGATTCCATCACCTCCTGAATGGCTGTGCCCACATCACATAGACGCACATCAATGCCCGCCTCCTTAATGCCCGTATTGGTCGCCTCCTTGACGGCCTGCAGCAGCTTATCGTACTTATTGTTAAATGTCAGCGTGAAGGCGCAATCAATGATGCGTCCCTTGATGTGAGTACCAAAATCAATCTTACAAACATCATCGTACTGAAGCACCGTGGTGTCGCCCGCATTGGGCGTGTAATGGGCAGCGCAATGGTTAAGCGAGCAGCCGGTTGGAAAAGCCAAACCAGCCTCCAGTCCGTTCTCGCCAATTAGCCGACGTGCGGTATTTTCCAGTTCCTCGCATATCTGTATCATGGTCATGCCGGGCTTGATATACTTTTGCATATACTGACGAGTCTGGCGATGTGCCTCGGCCGCTTGACGCAGCTCCATATAGATGTCATTATTCATGCGATCCAATGCACGTTTCTCCTCGGACGAAAAGCGATCCTTGGCCGTGCGATCGTCCGGCAGATCCTTTGGCGTAGGGTGCTCCATAATCTGACCCTCGGGATAGTCGCCATTGGCATAGAGTTCTGAAATGGGTATGGTGGGTGGATCTGTTTGACCGCTGCCGGCTTTTTTGCCCTTGTTCTTCTTCTTGGCGGGCGCAGCCGCTGTGGCCGTTGGCGCCCTTTTCTCAACGTCGCCATTAGTAGTTGCCTCCGGTTCGCCACCCTCGGCGACCTTTTTAGCTGCGGCTTCTATATTTTTTTTAATGCATATAGGAATTGCGCATGTGAAATACATATATACAGCCAAACATACATATTTATATATATATATGCATATGTAAATGTATGGCGAAATACTTAGGTCACTCACCTTGTCGCAGCTTTTTATTGTTCGGCTTTGGCTTCTTTTGTTTTTTGGCATCGTCGCCGGCTGCGGTTACAGCAACTTCAGTTGCGGCCGCCTCAACTTTTAATGTTTCCACTGCGGACATATTTATGTATTTGCGAAAATTATAAAATACACTTGCGGCTACTGAGCAATAATGGCGATGAAAGGAGAGCACGAGGTTAGCGATGTGTTGCTAGCCAAAAACACGATACATATAAGCTAAACGAATATTTCTATCGTAAGTTTGTGATAACATTAAATTTTAATTTTGCGTAAAGCGGCCAACTAGATTGTAGTTTTTATGGTTTAAGAACTACTGATTCCTAGGCATAAATATATTTAAATTAAATATTCTTTAAATAAAATTGCCTCTAACAAACTTTTAAGTACGATATCGATATATCATTCACAATCATCTTAAGCAGTGTTGAACAATGTCTGTGCGGAGTCTACCGATAAATGGTGGTGGCTGTTCGATTATTTTAAGCTGTTTACTTTTAGCGAAATGGATGAAATTCTGTTTCCAACGCAAAATTCACTAAGTGACAACGATGATGTCGATTTAAAGTTCTTTAACACAGCCACCGAAAGCCGGAAAGATAGTGAGACATCCGACACGGCAGAGGGCAATGATGCCGATAGCAAGGATGCCAAAGCAGATGCTGATGCGGACGGTGACTCCGGCGAGCCCTCTCAAAAGAAACTAAAAACCAAAAAGGAGCTCGAGGAGGAGGAACGAGAACGCATGCAGTAAGTGCTGCATAAACCAATGCCACAGTAGCATATTAAGTAATTAATTTCAGGGTGCTGGTGTCCAACTTCACAGAAGAGCAGCTAGATCGGTATGAGATGTATCGCCGATCCGCCTTTCCCAAAGCCGCGGTCAAGCGTCTTATGCAGACCATAACCGGCTGCTCGGTCTCACAAAATGTGGTCATAGCAATGTCTGGCATAGCGAAGGTGTTTGTGGGCGAGGTCGTGGAAGAGGGTAAGCGGTAGTTACAGCAGTTAGGAAAGCTTTAATCAATCCCCATTGACTTGCAGCTCTGGACGTGATGGAGCAACAGGGCGAATCGGGCGCACTGCAGCCCAAGTTTATACGCGAGGCCGTGCGACGCCTGCGAAGCAAAGGACGAATGCCCATTGGACGCTTCCAGCAACCCTACTTTAGACTAAACTAAACAGTAGGATTAAGTTTGTAGCTCGTAAGTTAAAAATTTAGTCAATATACAAAAGCGTCTTTATTCGTTTAAAGTGTAACCGCTAGAACCTAAACTAATCGTGTGCTCGTGCCTCCGCCTGCATGGTCTGCAGCACAATATGCGGAACCAGATGCGAGGAGGCATAGTTGAGTGGCACTGTGGCCAGCGGCGCGCTGCCATCGGAAGGAAAGTTGAGCTCCTGCGCCATGGGCATATCCCGATCGATCACATCTTGGGCAATCAGGGTTTTTGTCTCCTCATACTCCATGCCCGCCTCTGGCTTGGCGCCCATCAGCAGCTTGCCCCGCTGCACGCCCATATATTGCGTCGCCTTGGCATTTAGCGGCAACTGGCCGCAGGTGTCCGCATGCACCTTGCGATGTGCCTGCAGGTTTGAGATGCAAGTGAAGCGCTTGCCGCAATTATTGCAAAGGAAACGTTTAATGCCCGTGTGTACAGTCATGTGCGTCAACAGACTCTCACGGTACGGATACTCCTTGGGACAGAGCTGTAAAAGAGCGTATAAAAAAAAAGTTAAAGTAAACTGGAAAGTGAGGAGTTTTTCATGAGGGTAAGTGTACCTTATTTAACTATAATTAAGCTTTATATTCAGACTTTATAGACCAGCAGGATTTAAGCAGGTCTTACTATTATACTTTGGTAAGATTTACCTTTAAAGCAGGCCTCAGCTTTAACCGACATCAGAATTAACAGTTCGGCTAAGCTTTAACAGCAGACGGTAACATTTCTAGCAAGGTTTAATTTAACAGCAGATATTAACGTCAACAGCAGGGCTTAACGATAAACTTTAGCAGACATAACAATTAATAGAAGGCTTTGCCATTATTAGCAGACTGACGTTGGAAACAGACTTTAACTTTTAACAGCTGACTAGCATTAATAGCACACTTCAGCATTTCCTACAATTATACTCACATGGCACTTGTAAGGCTTGTAGTCCGTGTGGCGCGTCTTCAGATGCGACTTGTACTGCGCCTTTACCTTGAAGGTCTTGCCGCACTTGTCGCACTGGTAGGGCGTCTCCGACTGATGGAGCAGCATGTGCGTCTTCAATATGCCCGCCGTGGAAAGCCGCTTGCAGCAGACACTGCACTCATAGAGCGGCACACGGCCGCACTCGGAGCGCACATGATCCGAGAGCGAGGTGCGGCCGGTGAACTTTTTGCCACATTTATCGCAGATCAGATTGCGCGGCAGATTACGGGGCTCCTTGCGGGCATGATAGTTCTTCTCGTGGTTCTTGAGGCTATCATGCCCAGTCATATACTTGTCGCACTTCTCACAGTAGAGCAGCTCCTTGTGCTTCTGGTGTGCGTGCTGGGTGGCCTGTTCCTTGCTGGCGAAGAACAGATTGCAGTAGCAGGGGCACTTGTGGGTGAGATTGCCATCCTGGCCGTGCACCTTCATGTGGGTCTCCAGGCGCTTCTCCACTAAATAGATTTTGCTGCATATTTTGCACTTGAAGACCTCTTCGTCCAGTTTGGCGTGCGCATCCGCATCCTTGAACAGCTCCTTGATGGCCTGCTCGTTGAGCTTGTGATCGTCGCGCAGATGCTTCTCGTATGGCTTGCGTATGTGATAGATTTTAACACAGTGCGGACACTTCCAGGTTCTTTCCATTTTACTCAACATTTTCAGGCGCTCCTTCAGCTCCTTTTTGGTTATTTTGGCCACGCGTCGTGGTCCTGTTGAGGACGTCGTCTCCTCCGACATGGGCGAAGTCGTGGCATTGCGTTTGCGATATTTTCGCTTAACACTGGATTTGGTCAGCGGACGCAGCTGCTCCGCTTCGTCGTCTTCCTCGGCGCTGTCTGGCTCGGTTTCGCGCAGCGCCAGCACATCCTCCTCCATGTGCTCGGCGCCATTGTGCTTGGCCATGGGCACTGCGGCAATCTCATCCAGTATGCCCGTTGCATGCTCCACTTTGAGATTCTCAAAGGGCTTCAGGCTCTCGTCCGTGCTGAGCAGCACATCGAGCAGCTTGTCTTTCTCATTGCTATATATGTCGAGGCCGTTGCCCTCCATCTTGACAAAGGCACTGGCATCCTGGTACTCAAAGTCCGGATCTATGGCCTCCTCTTTGACCAGCGCCGGAGTGGGTAGCTTAAACTGCACCGCATCGGGCTCCTCATCGCTATTGTTGGGCTCAAAGTCAGGATATTCCTCGTCTGAATCGCTCAGCTCCTGGCTGCTAATGAACTCCTGTTTCAGCTTGACAGGCGCCTGGACTTTCAGCCTGCTGGCGAGCGGCACATCATCCTCACTATCCTCCGAGGGCGGCGCAACCGGCGGACCTTTCTTGGGCCTGCCGCGTTTGCGCTTGACGACCTTCTGCTGAGCGTGCTCGGCGGGTACTGTCTCTGCTGCAGCGGGCACTGCAAGAGAAAGTGATTAGAATTGGCCAAAGCTTTGGGGAATTTAGCAGCTGGAGCACCCACAGGGCTGGCGATTTGTGCGCGGCAACTGACGACCGCAGCTGTCGGGACGCTTGAGTTGATGCTTGGCCAAGGTGGAGGGGCAGGAGAAGCGCATGGCGCAGCATTTGCACTCCACGGGCAACGCGTTGTCGTGCTCGGAATGATGTTTCAGGCTGCTCTCACGATCCGCAAAGCATTTGCCGCAAATCTGCAAAGGGCACAGGTGAAACTTGGAATTGGCAACAGCTACACATCATCAGCCCAGCTACGCACCTCACACTTGAACGGCTTCTCGATGGCATCTAGGCACACATTGAACTTGCGATCCTGATGCGCCTCCTCGATGTGCGCATCGTGCTCCGCCTCGCTGCCAAATATAACATTGCCGTCCACGCACAGGCGACAGATGTAGGCGCTGTGCGTGCTCTTCACATGCTCCTTCAGCTCCTCCTCGTGGCAATAGTGGATGTCGCAGTAGCGGCACTGAAAGCCGCCCGGCGGTTCGTGTTTCTTTACATGCTTTACGTAGCCGGCGAGCGAAATGAGCGCCTTGTTGCAGACGGGGCAGTGAAGCTTCGGTACGCCGTCCGTGGTAATCTCCACTAGCATTTTTTGTCCTACACTTATCGATTGGGAAGCTGTAAAAGGTAGTTCACATTTTTGATGTTGATTTACATTGCCAAAAATTGTGAATATTAAATTGCTGTATTTGCACGCAGCCCTGGTTTAGTACGCAAAACGAATAAGGTGGGGGTACACAGCGTCGCGGCTTAGACACAAATATAATTGTTTTTCACCATTACCTACCCATTTTGGATATGGAATTTGTATTAAACAACTACATGTGAACTAATCTCGTGCGAAAATCAAATCAAATGCAACCGAATTGTACGGGTTTTTTGTTTTTGTTTCGGTGATTTTACGCACACCGTATTTGTTGTTGTGCAGCAGCACTGTGAAAAAATTTAACTACTTGCGTTATACACTCAGCGAATACATATTAGAGATGAGCGATATTCGGTTAACTGCTACTTTTCACTGGTACTATCTACAGGTAAGTCACAGTTGAGGAAATTCCTAAATATTTAGCAATACATTTTAATAATTATAAAAAAGAGGTGAAAAAAATCAAAATGTGGTGAAAATACTGTTTCTATTTGCCTTAAAATAACTGTTTATACTGAAAGCGAATGGCAGTGTTAAGTATGAGAGCTGTTAGGCAGGAGGCAAACTGTCAACGGGTTAAGTTGAAAGAGTCTAGCTGTTAACTGCAGCCGTTTCTGTTAAGTGGGCTATCGATTCCCCTGATAATAACATTTGACCTTCTGGCGGCAATTTAAAAAATATGTTATGTGTATGGCAGCGTATATTCAAAAGTACTGAATTATCATACTCTATTTTGAGAGTTATATCATTTGCTAGCTAGGTAGATGTTAAAAAGGCCCATATTGTTTTAACTGACTAATCTATTGAATGCGGGAGTTTTCTGTTAACAACAGAGTTGGAGTTTAATGACTATCGATAATAAGCTATCGTAAATTTCCTACTAATAATAACATTAGTTTGGCGGTGTTTTTAAAAAACAAATATGTATCGTATATTTTATAGCGTACTAAGATCTAAATTATATTTACTAGAAGCATTTCACAAACCTTTTGCAACTTAAACATTAACATTACCAAATATATCACGCACATGCTCATGTCTAACCATATTATTTACACGTATTTACATTCTGAGTACCCTTCTTGGATTTGGCTAAGCTTTTTTTTTTTTGTTTTTGTTTTTTTATATACTTGGGACCGCTTACTTATATATTAGTTAGAAACTCATGTCCGTGTCGTGATCGATGTCATAACTGTGCATTTTATCCATTATTCTATTATTTATCACTTCTTTGACATTGACAGACCACAGAAAGTCATAATGATTCCAGTCTTTGTAGGGCACCCTATAGAGATCCGCGCAGGGGAGCAATGTGGCCAAATACTCAACATCCTCCACAGCGGACATATAGTCATTTTCACTGTAGTACATATTTACACAGCTATTGATATTTTGAACATTATATGATGGCGGCTCGGCCTGTTGATAGATAATCTCATTCTTTTCCTTGCCATGGTCATACTGTCGAAAATCGCCCGATGTGTATAGCTGTAGATAGTGTATAATTTGTGTGGTGGAAGCGCCAGCCGGATGTGTCTCACAAACGTCTGTCAATAGGGTCTGAAATTTGCTTGAAATAGTTAAAATTCTAGTTTCCAGTAAGGATTGCTTCTACTTACATGATTTAGATGTCTGGTGCCCCATCCGCCAATAAAATCCAGCAGTCCGGAGCACAAAAACTTGAGCATTGAACCCACAGAGCAGACATGCTCACACATGATCTTCTGTATGCTAGTAATGGGCAACAATTCCATGTTGCCCAATACCCAGGTGAGGAACGAGGGCGAGCCCAGAAATATCCCGCCTAGCTTGGACAGAATGAACGAATGATTCCGCATGTAGGCAATCGGCGCCAGCAAATGCACAGAGCGCACCTTCTCATTGTACCAGGGCAACGAGGACATCAGCACAAAGTATGTGGTTGTGCCCTGGGAATGTGCCACAAAGTGCAGCGATTTGCTGTTGCTCACGTCCAGGGCATAGTCCAGCATGGCAGCCAGATCATAGACGCCAATCTCATGCCAGCTGAACTTCCAGAAATCCGATGTATCCGGATGTATGTGCTTATGCTGTCGCGAGTACGTATTGCCACGCGCATTGCCCAGCCACACATCGTACCCGGCATCGGCGAACATGTAGGCCAGCGATGTCTCCGGCCCATTGATGATCCAATCATCCGAGGCGCACAGAATGCCATGCTGCAAAAATACCACAGGCTTCTGCTGCGTTTCATTCAGTTGCTGCCTCTTCGGGGAGGTGGGTATGCGATAAATAGTGAGAATATAGTCATCGGGCGTATGCACCGTGTGCTCCTCCACGGGATAGTTGTGATTCGTTATGAGAGTGGCCTGCAAAAAAACCGAACATGATTATTCAGAAGAGGTTTTAAATAACTATAATTGACTTTAATTTAATCATGTATAATATTTATGTAGAAATGTGTATAGTACTTGATTCCAAAGGTCTCTTGTAGACCTAGACAGACACATTTTATTTGATTTATTAATTTTTTTTTTGCGAAATCTTTAATTTGATAACTAATATTAGCATTTTAGTAATTAACATATTCAATCATTTCGCACTATCTACAACACTTAATGCATGACCCATATAAAACTTTCCCAAGCTTTTTATTTGGCAAGCCAGACAAAAATTAATTAATGATCACACCACTTTTTTTTTTTTCCTGCGTGTTTATTAATAATTTTATAGCAAACAAATGGCTCACCCTAGCATTACGGGATATTTGGAAAACTAAATCAGTATCAAAGTTCAAGTGTATATTTTGTTTAGATGCTAAAATATATTTCCCAGGTGGGCGTTGCGATTAGATGGTCTTAAGTCACTTTATCAAAATCAAGAAAAACAAGAAAATAAACGTTTGTTATTGTTGCAAGCGTGTTCTCTCCCGCTCTCTCGCGCGCTTTTGTGCTTCGACAACAAAGGCGTGCATGTGAAAGCTTAACGAAACTTTTCGTTCAGTAGCGAACGCATCACCCACCAGCAACAACAACGACAACGGATGGCAAAGTCCAAGCACAAGAAGCGCGTCATCGGTAAAACTTTGCCAGCGGCAGCGCGTCGTGTGCCGTTCATTGGTGTGAGGGGCGTGGCAAAAGTTTTGCAAGCAAAGCTTTGTCACGATCATGGGGGGTGGCGGAAGCGAGGTTATGTTTGTGCTTGTCACAGTTTGTACTTCAACTCTCTTATCAGCCGGAGCACAACTATTGAGCACAATCAGCTGATGTGCGTAGCTGTTTTTGTTGTTAATCGGGTGATCGCAGCTGCTTTATAAACGAATACGTAGCACACATAAACAAGCACACATATAAAACTATGTACACTTAGCGAAAAATATCAATAGTTAACTAGGCCAGCCTATTGAACGAAATTTCTATTTCATTAATTTTTGCAATTCCAAAATTTATAAACAAGTACAGTTATTTCTTAATCCATTCCATCTTCTTCTTATTTTCTTTGATGAAACATAATTATGATCCTTGATGATACACAACTGCTATTAAAATATTTAATTGCAGATTTGTTTTCAGATTTTTTCTAAGTGTATTCACTTAATTTTGCATTTCTGCGCTTGCCTTTAAAATAATCTTTTCATTCTTTAATCATGTTCCGCTGATATTTTAACTAATCAGGCAAGTGCACGGAAGAGAGGCCAAATTAATACGACAAAATGCCCAATATATATGAACCCATAAGTGGGGTAATTATGATTTGTTATTGTTTTACTTTGACACGCGCTGGTTTCTAGAGCTTTTACCATGTGAATTGGAACAACCTTCAAAAAATGTTATCAGCCATACATAATTTTAAAGCGGGGCCCTTTTGACTGATATAGGAGCATGACATAAATTATTCTATTATCGCCCGATCAAAGTTAAAAGTTTGCCAGGTTTTCCAGTTATCGCTCAGGATATTAATGCTTATCTAACAGCAACTATAATTACTCATCATTTAATGAGCTAAACTCATTATCTTTAGCTCATTAGAGCAGTTTAAAAATATAGTATACATGTTTATAGATTATAATCGGTAGTCACAATCATTCAATGCACTTGAACATACTGGTCATTCCGTGTTTTTTTTTCTTTCTTTTTATTGAGCCTGTTGATATGTGTCAGTTTATATTTGCCATAGTTTTTTTCGCAAGTTTTTTTATTAATCCCAAACCAAAGTCCAAAATTATTGTGACTGAGTGTCGAATATCTTATCGTACAAACGAAATTTGTTTTATTGATTCCCAACTGTCTGACACATGTTAAGCTCCATGATAAGGTCTAGATCCTATTCAAAAATCGGATGTTGCTGAATTTGCCCAGTAAAATTAAGATTGATAAAAAACGGTTGAGATTTATGTGCAAGAATAAAAAGGGCACGTAGTTGTACTGCTCGCAGATAATAGATAATGTTATTTACCAGCTAAGCTATTTAATCACATTTTTAGATTTTGTTGAAGAGATACATATTACAGATTACAAAAGAGATATTTTTGACCAAAGAAGTTTTATATTTGACAATTCTATCAAATATTAAAATACTTGGGAAGGTGTTATTAGCTAGTTCCAGTTCAACTGAACTTATAAACTGAACTTATGAACTGAACTGAACTTAAAGCATGCATATGCTTTAAGTTTTGTTAAAGATCTTACTAAAAACTAAGGCTGTTTCGGTTTGAAGCTTACGCCTAACTAATATTTTACGTAACAATTCGCAACTGGTTTAAGCGCTGAGTAGGCTAAGTTACGTACTTCAACTTTTAGGGCTTATTAAATAAATGTAACTAACTTTATGACTCCGGCCTGGGCAAGTGTGTCTAAAAGCAATGGGATAAATATAAAATATCAAGTATACGCACGGCTGGATACTTTCAACTCTTAAATAAAGACATTACCCAATAGTCGATTGGCAAATACTTGTAGTCTTGGTAGTTGTTGGCCAACTAACTAACTTACTAACTTACCGTCACTTTGAGGCCATCCACCGGATCGATTTGGCCGCTTATGAGCTGCAACAGCAGCAGCGCCAATACCAACATATGAAACATTTTGTTGTTGTAATTGTTGCTGTTGCTGCTGACACGTCTTGTTGTTGTTGTTTTTGTTGTTGCTGCTGCTGCTGCTGTTGCTGTTGTTGTTGTTGCTGTTGTCGTTGGTTGTTGCATTTTTATGCACATAATGTAATGGCAACTCTTGATATTTCGCATCCAAGACTGACCCACTTGCCGAATATGTTGTAAAGCCCCGTTGTGGACAACTGCCACGCGGCCTGCCCCGTTACTCGTGGCAATAAACTGTACGAAAAAAAACTAAAAAAATAAAATAAAATTAAATAAAATATATGAAAATTTAGATATAGATTGTTTAATAAAAATGTAAACTTGTTTTTTTTGTCTTTTCGTTTCATAATTAAGTTGATTGCTACGATTTTACTTACACTTTCTGTTTCGAAGTTGTATTTGTTGATAGGTTTTTTCTTGTAATATTGTTGTGCTTCAATTGCAGGGTATATATGTGTGGAGTGCTGCTTAATCAGCAATGAGTTGATGTTTCAAGACTTCAAGTGATCTTTTTAGCATATATATATAGATATATATAAATATATGCTTGTCCTTATATTGATTTACTTTGTTATTAATTATGCGTAATAACAATAATTGCGCTCAATCATATATATATACGCCTTGGCTTGATTTTTTTCTCGAGGATTTCGCGATTTGCCTATTTTTATTGTAATTCTAATTATTTTATTGCCCAAGGGCACTTCGTATGCGTTTGTGTGCGAGTGTATCTGTGTGTGTGTGTGTGTGTGTGCTGGTGATTAACTTCAGGAAATTTGTACTTTCACGAAAATACTGAGCTCGGCAGCTGATTAGACTTTTTGTGACGTCAATGTCTGCTCGCTTTTCTTGAATCGCAGGAAAACCTATAAATATATATATATACATATATGTACATTTTTATAAAAATAATATTCAATCAGTTCGACGATATGTAAAAAATAAACATGTTAAAGATATATAAATATTAGATTAAAATATTCGCAAGGAAATATTTCTTTTGTTTATTTAATATATTCTTCGAAAAGTATATAGAACTCTCATTTAGTTCATTTAAATTAGTTGCAAAAAGGAAAATTGTTTTTCTTTACGCGTGACCAGCTCACATTTTTTTGGTGCAACATTTTACTGTGATTAAAATTTGGTTAAAAGTATAATCATTTAATAAAATAATTCGTTGAGTTCTGACGTAAAAGCAAAAGCATAAATATACATATCAAAAGCTTAATCATCGCAAATATAAGAATATCGCTTTGGGGCTTCGTTCTAGAAATGCATTCTCAATTATAATTGATTATTATTAGGGCATAGAAAAAAGTGTTTACAAATCGTGTCTGTGGGTGCAGTTTATATATAGGGTTTATTGAATGGGTCAACAAGCTCCAAGTCTAGTAAAAACAAAGTAATTAGCAATCAATCATTGCCCATCAGATGATATACATACATATATTCTATGTATTTACATTGTTCATATTTTGCGAAAATGCAATTCTTTTTGATCTTGTATGTATATATATAATGTCCACTAAGGCGCAGATTCATTAAGTCATAGCAGCTTGGAGAGCAAAGTTTATTAATATCAATAATTAATGTGTGCAACGTTAAGTATACGCCAGGTTCACCATTGAACCCTAAACCTAATTTTGTAGAACAAGAATAATTGATTTTAAGTGGAAAAAAATTACATAAACTCCCCGAGAATACAACTTTTTCAAACGTAAATATAAATTTTTATAAAAAAAAGACAATTCATTTTAAAAACTAATATAAATAGAACACAATTTTAAAACTTTTTGTCACTTGAAAAAGGTTGTACAATTTTAATATATTTCCTTCTGTTTGGAACAAACAATTTTTTTTTATTTTAATTATTTTCTTTAATGTATTTATGATTATTTCAATTTTATCAATTATATTTATGCCTATTAAAATTTATAAATTTAATTAAATCCTTTAGGGTAGCTTTCTTTAAGCAATTAAGCTGTTGACAAAGAGAAATTAAGAAAAAATAGACTTTTGGTTTTTGACAACTATTTAGTTTTTACAGATTTCGGTAACAACTTTATTGAAAACAACTTTTTTTTTGCATTAAGACAAAAATCTCTTTGAACCATGCGCAGATTTCACTTTGCGGCGATCGTGATGAAGTAATTCGAACTTGAACCGTGATTATGGAAAGTTTACTTGGGACTTAAAGTTTGTTAAAGAAAGAGATGATCCTAAGTCCGGGATAATAATATGTCATCAAATTTGGAACTCAATTAATTAACTTATATTTTTGTTTCTGATTTAATTGCCAAATAATGATCTTTTTAACGCATAATATATGCCAAATGAGGTAAGCTTTTATTAATGGGCGCTGCTCAATCGATCGCTCAATCAAACGATTGATTTACAGTTTATACACATGTGTGTATATATGTACAAATGAATATCTTGAGCGATTGGCACTGGCTCGCACAGACATATCCACTTGTGATTTGTTGCTTTAGCCATATGCGAAAAGTTGAATGAAATCTGTTCGGCACTCACTTGAAATTCAAAATCAAAACAATTTTCCACGACAGAAAATTGTTGTTGCTTATGCATATAAATGTTTTTTGTTTTTGTTTCTAACTGAAATTTTTAATTTTTCAATTTATTTATAGATTGTTGCCGTTTGCCGCGTGTTGTCAGCGCGTCAATTTCCAAACTAAAACTAGCTTAGAGCCGCGGCCAGTTTGTCTGCCCAGAGCGCAAAAGCTGGGCGGCGGTCTGGTCAAAAAGCTTCTGGCAATCGTGTTGCCGGCGATCATCGTCTGTGAGCGCAAAAGCTTTCTTTCGCTCGCATGACGGAAGCGGCGACGTCGCATGTAAACGGCAACAGCTGTTGTTGTTGTCTTTGTAGTTGTTATTAGCACATACTCTTGCTGCGGCTGTTGCTTCTTTTGCAATTTCTAGAATGTTGTTTGTAAACAATGCGATTTGCCGCATAGCTGCACGCGGCGTAGCGAATAGTTGCCCAAAATGAAGACTGCGCGAGCGGGTCAAGTTCAACGCGAACCGGTTCTCTCTCTCTCTTTTTCTTGGCGCTTCTCTTCTTTTTCTTCGCCCACTCGTTTTGCTTGCTCGGTTCAAAGCTCGATATCGAAAATTTGACGTTTGTAATAAAAGCGCTTCGCGAATCTCAAGGTCATTTGCGTAATTTATGCGTTTTGCTTTTGAATATACAATTGCCTTCAAATGTCATTAAAATAATGAGCAGCAAAGTGTTGCGACTTAAATGGAGACATTATTGTTGCTTAGAGACAACAAACAATTAATGCGAAGCACAATTTATGTATGAATAAGCTGGGTAAAATATTTGATATACCTTGTCAAATATTTATATATATATCGCCGGGAAGATATTCTAACGATTGCTTAGAAAATCTTTGACTTTATTTAGTTATATTGTATAATTGCTTGCGAAGAGATCAATAAGTTCGTAGTGTCTGTAAAATCGAAAAAAATATTAAAAATATTTAAATTTTCATGGTCAAGTCCATAAAGTGGGCAAAAAATACGAAAATCGTTATTCCCAAAGGTCACAGTAAATAGAGTAGTTTGCCGTTTCACCCCAAAATCGTAAAATCGAATAAGTATAATCTATATTTTAGTTGTGTATTAACATACCAATGTATCCCTTTTTCTTTTTGCCCAGGTCGTCGCAAAAATCAACCAATTAAAAGTCGGCTAATAAATCATTAGAAGTGATTCATACTATACTTTTTTGATAACATATACATTCGGGGTAAGTAATATACGTTAAATATACAATATGTCAATAAGAAATATTATTAACCTAAGCTAATCTAAGGTTAAAAACTATGTGAAAAGCTATTTGTTATATAAATAGACGCTTTTTTACTATCTGAAAAGCTATTTGTTATACATTTTTACGCTTTTTTAAATTCCTAAATAGATTTACTCAAGACATGCATTATTTCAATTCCCACCTCTGATCCTAACTCTTTTATGCATATTTCTGTTCCTGCAAAGCGCTTCAATTCGATTTGTTTAGGAAATCCTTTCGACATGCACTGTCGCAACAAATCCATTTATTTGGTTCATAAGCTCCATGGAGCACTCTCTAATTTTGTAAATCGCTTTACTGCATTCAACCATAAAATGTAAATAAACTACTTTAAGAGCATCAACAAGAAGTGGGTAGTCGACAATGATCGACCATTGGATACCCTAAAGCTTTTATAAGTTTGCAAACATATATAGAGCTTAGAAAGTATTAAAAGAACATCTCTAGGAAAGCACACTTTCTTTTGGGCTTTTAATAAATATAACTAATAATTTGAGTATTGCAATAATAAGTTATATGTAGTTATATAGATTAGTATATATAAATGTACAGCATAAAAATATTTATACACTGGTTAATTCTTTATTTATTGATTTATAATTAGCTTAAGGCTTAAACAAAATAGCTTTGAAGTGCTTTTACAATACAGAAAAAAGTTATGTTTCGATATTTAAGTGTTTTAAAGTTTTGTGTAAAAATTTGTAGTGCTTTGAATGGTGCATTGTTTTTTTTTTGTGCATATTTAAAACAAATAAGTGTGCTCTAGTCGGGAGAGCCCGACTAGGGATACACTGATCCTTTTGCTTCGCAGGGTGGCATTAGCTATAAAATGAAAGATATTTGATTTGTATACACTATTCTAGAAGCTACATGTCACATTTGGTGACTCTAGCTCTTAAAACCCAAGAGATTTATTCAAAAAAGAGGACTTCCATTTCGGGTATTATCGATTACTTGGGTACGGGGCAAGTTATGGACTTTTGGATTGGATTAGACCTACGGAATTTTGAACGTTAAGTCCCTAGCTCTTATAGGTTCTGAGTTGGACGCGTTCAGACATACGGACAGACGGACGGAACCGGCTAGACCAACTCGGCTATTGATGCTGACCAAGATTATGTATACTTAACGGCGTGGGAGATGCCTCCTTCTGTCTGTTATACCCATTATACCTTTTTTACCTATTTTCAAAAAGATACCAGTGTTGTGAGGCCTTAAATGATTATTTTCTTCCGAAAATTGCTTAAAGCTTTTTATACTAAATAATTTACAAATGAGAAATATACCCGCTCTGAGCTGGCATACTCCAGGGTAGTCTAAAAATGAGCCTGCAATGCGCCGCACTTTGTGTTAGTCACGCAAAAATTTGTTGCTCGTTGCGCCGTTGCACTTGATTGTGTTTATTTATTATGCAAATTTGCATTAATTTTTTGTTGCAACACGTGGCACGACATGCAGCAGCAGCAGCAATAACAGCAACAGTTGCTTCACTTGGACCTTTAAATTGCTTTTATGAAAAATGCATGCGGCTGGGAAATTGTGATCCTGCGCCAGCTGAGCTTAGTGCAAGGACATTTTATGAAAGTTTTGTACTTAAAAATAGATGCGCTGATAGACAATTAAAAATGTTGCTTATAAAGCTATCAATAGTTTGGCTTCGGTCGCAAGGGGGCAGGCAGCTGGGGCCATACTAAAAAAAAATAGTTCGTTTTAAAAGGAAAAGTGCGCCCCCAGCTCGTTGCCCCGCCCAAGTCCAAGTCCAAGCACTTTGTGCAAATTGTGAACACTGTGCGTCCTTCTACGCATACGAGCAACAACAACAACAACAACAACACCAACAACAACAGTGGCATGAGCAGCAGCAGCAGCAGCAACAACCTCGACAACATCAATGTGGCAACAAAGGCTTCAGGTTATTGCATGCATTTTAATTAGTAGACAAGCCAAGTGGGTTGCCACTGCGTTGCACTGCGCCACTGTGGCATCCACATTTGCATGCCACGCATCCAAAGAATAAGATGAAAGACCAACACGTGGGCTGTTCGATACGTTTCTATTCTAGATACGTACACAGTTTGAACCAGCGACTTTATGTTTGACAGGCTCAAGAGAAAGTTATTTCAAAAACTTAAATAGGTAAATCCAGTCAAGAATTATAGTTTTCATTTAGAATGTTATTTTAGAGGAATTTTAAATTTTATATTGAATTATATATTAGTATTTCTCATACTTAACTTTAACCCTCTAGTCCTTGGCTTTAGTCCCCGAACATTTTACCATGTATGTACACATATCTATTTTTATATTTTCAATAGTTTGAGTTCTGTTGCGGCTCGTCAGCTATGCAAAAGGTAAAAATTGTGCATGAAAAATAGCTGAAAAACGCAAATCATTTAAATGATGAGAAACGATGCGTGTGGAACTAGAACTAGACAATGACATATGAACTGTAGAGAAACCCGAAAACGTGTCCAATTCGTATAACAAACAAACTGTCCAAATTGGCAGAGAGAGTGAAATAGAGGGGGAGTGGGAGGTAGTCCTTTTCAGCACAATTCAAGTCCTTTTCAATCTATCATTCTGCCCTCGCGGTTAGCAATAGACCCCCCGACCGCGTCTCTGATGCCCAGCAGGCGCTCATTCGACCCATTGCCGCCACGTTCTGCGCTAGTTTCTTGTATTTATTTTTAAATTGTTTCGCACACACATAAATAAACACACACAAGCTCACACACACTCATACACAAACACACAGCAGCAGCAGCTAACATCCTCCATAGGATACGATGGGACATCTAAAACAAATTTCCTCAAATAATCAAGATATACATAAGCTTTCAATGTAACTTAACAGAACTGTTTACATGTCACTCAGCTGTTAAGTTAACTTCTGTTTAGCAACATCTGTGGCGTGTAAAGTGTAGCCGTAAAATGTATGATAGTTGTTAATGCCTTTAAAAATTACGATTAAAATTAACTAATTACTCTTATTTTGAATTCAAAATATTTTTGTTTCGCGCTACAATTTAATGCTACAAAGTTTCTATATTGCCCATGGTACACGACGACAACGCGGCGTATGCGCCATGTGACTTGAGCTTGTGTGTGCCATTGTGTGCGTGCATGTGTGTGTGTGTTTGTGTGTGTGCATTGTGTGTATTGGTGTGCTATACAAAAAATCTCTGTAACGCGCATCTGTCAAGCAACCGAACGCCCCACGCATGTCCCTGTGTGTCTGACTCTGTGTGTGTGTGCGTGCCTGTGTGTGTGTGTACGTTTGTGTGTATGTAAATGTCCTTGAGTGCTTGACGGATGACATTCATAAACGTCACTTCAATTACCTCCACGCGCCAACGCCGCCGCCGACGATGTCGCCGCAAAAATTCTGAAAAGTCAGCTAAAGTTGAAGAATTTTCCGGTTTGTTTTTGTATTTTTGTTTTTTTTTTTTTTATTTCGGTTACAGTTTTTTGTTTTTGTTTGTACTTTATTTGTTCTCGCTTTTATATTTTATTTTATTCCATGCATGCAACGTAAACTATTGAAGCATTTGAGCTGACAAATGATGTGTACCGAATTCAGGAGCTGAAAAATGTTAAACGAACTGAAGCTCTGAGAATAGATCAAATGTTGGGAAAAAAACAACAAAAAGTTGGGTAGAAACAAGTTAGAGCATTTAGTCGGTAGTGCAAGACTGGGAGATACCCTCTACACAGTTTCAAAATTCTGCTGTGTTTCGTGACAAATATGATCCATATTATGAAAAATGTGTCTTAATAATATCTTTTGCGTTTCTTGTCATTTTACTGCGAATTATATTCTGAATATGACACAAAAAATCCAAAAATTCATATTAAACCTTGAAAAAATCTTGGGTAGTGAAAGTATTTAAAATGCGTAGTGATCTTTAATTTCAAGTTTGTATTTGCTTGTTCTAAATTCTGAAAAATATTGGCGGAAATCGTGAATAAAATCAACATATACAAAATTAATACATTTTAGACATATATAGACTAGAGCTAGTCTCTAAATTGGATGCATCCATGCGTTCTTTTTTCCTGAATGTTTAATTTAGTCTGTTTGTTATGTAGCTTTTTCTTAGTTTAAAATCTTTTTGCCATTTTCTGGCTTTTGCGGAAAACAAAATGTTTGTAGCATACTTTTTGGTGCTATATATAATTACGAAACCTTAAGTTTATTGAGTGCTCGATAAATTAAGATTCTATTATATATATTTATTGGATTAAAGCTTTATTATTTTTATAGAAATATAAATGGTTGGTAAAGTAAAGTAGGATAAGCAAGAAGAAATATATATTTTTATAAAGCGATTCCCATTTAAAGAACTATATTATCGAAATCATTTGGAAGGAAAATTTTTTTTTCTAAAATGTACTCTTGAATTGAAAAGGCAAAGTGTATCAGAAAATTAGTCTTGGAAATACAAATATTAATGGACTCTTCTATAGATCTTTGAATAAAGTTTTTCACCAATTTTTCATCCTAACGGAAGGAGAAATTTTAGGAATTTTCCACTCATTGTGCACATACACAAGGGAACTACTTTAAAAATGTAAATAGTAAAAATTAAAAATAGTTTTGCCAACTGCTTGGACATATCCTTAAAACTCGCTTATTCTAGCTTGGAATCCGCAACCAGAACCTTTTAAGACTTTAAAGCAACTTTAAAGAACAGCAAATTTGTACTGCATTCAAATTTTGCTCATAGTTTTCATAATTTTCTTTTCGGCTTTTATTTTTATTTATATATTTTTGTTGTAGTTGTTTTCCACAAATTAAGCGCATTGATTTTCACTCGACATCATGTAATGGCGACTGGCCTGTGAACACACAAAGTGTATGCATGCGTGTGTGTGTGTGTGTGTGTGTGGGGTGGGGTGGGGTGGGGTGGGGTGGTTGGTTGGGTATATGTTGGGGG